GACAACGCGGGGAGACCGGGGATTTTAACGGCTAGTTTCTATGAAACGCAAAAATTTGTAACGGCTCACCAAAATTTGTAACGGCTAGTTTCTATGAAACGGCTAGTTCCCCCAAAAAAGTTCAAAGGATACTATTTTGTTCAATGACAAATTGGAAATAAATGCGATAAAACATTGAAAATACAACTCTAACTTGAATTTAAAAAGGGGGGTGATTATTTTAGTTACCAAGTACCCCTATGGGAGGAAGAACCGCTTCAGCGATGGGGGTGGGGTCCATCCTACCCTACTGGCAATCACTCTCTCACCCCCTCACCCCCTCCCTTCCCCCCCTATATTTGCTCATCCCTGTTCTTGGTTGCCTACAAGAAGCACCCATTCCCTCCAGCAGATCCTGAGTTAAGCACATCGGCACACTTGGAATGAATCCTACAAGATGTTTGGTTCTAAGCCTGGCCCTTTCTTGGTTTGCAGCTGTGGTTGCCCCTTGTGATGGCTTCGGTATCCCGCCGGTATTGAAATCGTCTCAGAGTCACGTCAACTTACTAGCATCGCGGTCCCGCTGGTCTGCCTTGTCAGCTACGAGGATGGGCTTAGGTCCTAGGCCCTCACTCAGAATACTCCCAATCGTCTCAGCCGCTCGCGGGCGGGTACGGATCTCAGCCACAAGCTCTGGGAATGCATATCTCGATCAGGTGTGCAAGATGCTGGGGGCTGATGCTGCGAATGCGACCTCGAATGTGTATGTAATTGCAATGGAGCTGCAGAAGAAGGACATGGAGAAGGACATGGAGCTGCAGAAGAAGGACATGGAGCTGCAGAAGAAGGACATGGAGAAGGACATGGAGCTGCAGAAGAAGGACATGGAGCTGCAGAAGAAGGACATGGAGCAGCAGCAGAAGGACATGAAGAAGGACATGGAGCAGCAGCAGAAGGACATGAAGAAGGACATGGAGCACCTTGTTAATTTCTACAAGCGTCAGCTGTCTACCCTCACTCAAAGGTGTGCATCAGGCTTGATTGAAATATGCGAAATGATATTGATTACCGTGACGCAGGTATGTCCTTGAGGCGCTGTTCAGGAAAGTGGTGCAAACTGTTCGATATAGCAAGGATGGTGCGATTCCATCTATGTTGTCGAAGTCGGACCTCAACGCGATGCAGAACGGAAAGATTTCTATGACTGACGTAAATCGGCTCTTGACGGATAATGAGCACGCAGAGTTTCGACGGAAAGTGTGGGAAAGGATCGGGTTACCGCAGGACCTTGTGATACCCACGTTTGATCCAAAAATGATGCTTTATGGGCAGCTTTCTGAAATGATACACGGGTCACCGGGAAATTATGTGTTTCTACTTTCAAATGCAGACGAATTGCACATCAGATTTTTCAGTGAGGTTGCAAAGTTTTTCGAGAAGAATATAGACTATTTCGACATCGTGTCGGCAAATGCGGGAGAGACCCTGGAAGCTGATTTTTTCCGAAAAATCAAAACGAATGCGACCGGAAAGCCAAGGCCGTGACTGGGACGGTAGGGTATCATTGTCCCTCGCCTTGCATCGGGTTGCTCCGAGTCGACCTTGCGCGCCTACCGTACCGCGGCAGTACTGCAGGAAGAAAGGCAAACGGTGGAAGGCATGTGGGATGTGCGTGTTGTGTGTTGGAAGTAAAGAGTTAGTCTCCCGTCTCCTTCCGCCTTGCTCTTCTTGCTGCATGTCCTCCTCGTCTTCATCATCTTCCCTCAACTCCAGCCGTAGGCCATCTCGTCTTGAAGCTCCAGACCGTGTGGACGACTCGGACTCTGAGCCCCTCACGTCCGGCCTCAGTAAGGACCCTCTGGATCCGACCTTCTGGCTACTGCCCTCAGAGTGGAGCGGGCGGAGGAGGCGGAGCGTGCTGGGCCGCTCTCGTACACCTTGACGACGGTGGAGTGGAGCGTGAAGCGCAGGGTCACTGAGCGAGCGTTGGTGAGATCTCCCCCTTACTGGGAGTTTCTCAGCCTGGACGCCAGCAGCTTGGTGTCGAGGCGACGAGGCCCGGCCAGCCTCGCGCGGGCTACGACATTGACCCTTGCCGACGAGACGAGCGCACAGTCGCAGCGAGGAAGAGCAGAGATCAACCCGTCAGACTCGTCTCCATCAGCCACGAGAGCGACTTACGTTCTAAGGTCCGAGAAGATTTCATCAAGGGTCATGGTCTCAACCGTCATTGCTTGTCATGAGCATACGTGGAGACGAGAGTAGGTAGGTAGCGCCCGCGGCAGACACTCTCCCCTCTCCCTCCGCCACATCCACGTGTCAGGCTTGTAGCCTGTGGACCGTACTCGAACCCTGACTATAACCTGACATGATCATCCGATGTGTGCATCACCTGGTCCCCGCCGTGGTTTCCCCGCACCCGACCCGCCCAGGAGGCTTTCGCAAAGTAGAAGTCCAACACACCTGTACTCCTTCCGACGGTCACCAACCGGGTTGATTCAAAGAAGCAAGCAAGCTGGCTGGCAACGGCGCCGGTTGGGACGTATTACCTTACCGTGATATCAGGCTAAGACAGTGAACAGTGGCAGATATCCATGATCCAATCAGACAAATAGGAGCATGTAATGAAAACAAAAACTTGAAGCCAGAGACACATAATAGATAACCACTGTACCCTTGATCGCACGCAAAACTTCTTTCAGGCTGAATGTTACATCTAGCAGACATCATTTCGAAAGAAACATCCATCACAACAAGAGTGCGAGGACCTCCTGCACGGCTTCATCCCTGTAGCCCACGAGCTTGTTTCGCCATCTTTCGGTAGAGCTTCACAAAATACTTCTGCGCGTGAGACCGCACCTGGATGGCAGACCGCGTGCCGACAATCTTTGCTATCTGCTCAGCCACACCAGAGCCCAGTCCCACCTTGAGGGTCCCATCCATGTGGAAGGGTACTGAATGGCACGGAGAGAATTGATTCAGCCCTTCTAGGAATTTGGCGTGCTCCTCCTTGGTCCACCTGTTCTTCGCGCTATTGCGTGCTCCGACTTCCCCGAAAGGCTTTCGCTTGCAGTCGATCACAGCAGACGCATCTATGGCAGAATGATGGTTGTCTGTCCCGTTTGCGTTGAAATCAAGTGTGAAAGACGTACTGTCAGCGACAGCTGCTTCTTCTTCCTCAACGTTGGATCTGATGTCCAAGGCCAGATTGCTCTCATGCCAAAAGTCTTCATAGAAGATGTCTCCCGGTTTAAGACTCTTCTGTCCAAGAATGCAGGGCGTTTGGAGCTTATCTACCCAATCGCTGGTACACAGACTCTTTGACTGCGGGTCCAAGTCCTGCACAGGACCCTGCCTATCGACTGTGTTGATGAAGGGTTCAGAAATCATCGCTAGCGTGTCAACTTCCTCTTGCACAATTACGGTAGTCTCCTCCAAAGTTCTGCCTTCCTGCTATGATGTATATGGTTGTGTCGATGCCGGTTGACGATGCTGGTTGTGTTCCCAACCAGTTCTTAACAAGTGAACAACCGTACAACCTTGTCTTGCTCTTGCCCTCGCCTCCACGGGATGGTACTTTAGTACTGAAGGTTTGCGTATTACACCACCCACCCCCTACGTAATCTGTGAAATCACCCGGTATCTTCATGCTCAAGATACGAATAGACGTGTTTCCATCCGATACTCCGGAGCTGCGCATCCATATCTGCGTACCCCACCCTTTGTAGGGCGATTCACGCTCATAATGACCCCTACCCCATATCTTTCCTCCCTCGATAAAAAACAAAACGTGCCTTTCAATATCAGATTTCGAATGTATTGGTAATGATATGTAAGTTCTTAGAGTAAATTTGAATTTTGCTCAGATGTACTTCTGTTCACTCGTAATGTTTGTTGTTCCATCCGAAACCGGAACGGAATCCCCCGATTTGACCTTTGTACCGGAACATTGACAAACATACGGGTGTAATTTTGAAAAGTAAATTGATAGGTTTGATGATGCCTATGAAAACTTGCCGCGGCCGTGCTTCCGTCGGATGTACGAAATTCAAGGGGTGGTCAAAGGGTTTTGGAGGGGTACTTACGGAGACCAGAAACTCCTTCCGCGGTCCCTGTGATCACGGGATCATCCGCAATAGGCTACTTTACTCAAAATGGAGATATACATCAATTCTGTAGCACAGTCGTATGTTGAGTAACATTAGTCGGTACTCAAGTACAGGATCTGCACTGAAGCTGCCATAGCAGGTCCTTCGGACTGGGCCGGTCGCGAATTCATCATGATTTCGAAACTGAGCCCTCAAATATTGAAATTCTCAGATAGATGGCAGAACTAGCCTGAGCCTCGGAGCGGCCTTCCTCTCACCCCCAAGAAGGTACCCACCACACACCCGGCGACCAGGTTTTTTGATACTGATGAAGTTTACTTCTGAACGTCGGTACCGTACGGTCCGATCACAGTCACGTTACCATAGTCACGAGCCTCTGATTGTCCTCTGATTGTCACTTCTAACCTTTACTCAAATTTAAGTAACACACTACTGTCAAGCCAAGTTCCGAAGTTCAAGGCTTCCCGGCCACCCAGTGTACAGTCGTCGGACGGGCAATCATCAATTTCCAATCAACAAATTTTTGGAGTAATCATTTTCCAATCAACGAAAGTTTGCAGTAATCATTTTCCATTCAACTTTTTGAAACAATAATCATTTTCCAATCAAAACTCCCCGTTTCGTACCGTTACACGTATCAGAAACGGTCGTAACCGTATACTTTTGCAATCATTTTCCAATCAAAATCAACTTTCAAACTTTCAACTCTCCATTTTGGAACTTTACCCCACCCCTCCACCCCCCTTTAAACCCTCCGTTCGGACCCCTCCCCATGACCCACCCCTCGAAGCCCACAGCGGCTACCCCCTTCATAACCAGGACTTGGTATCAAAAATACCGGTACTATCCAGTACCCCGGTGTCACATGACGGGGTCGGTGGTCCACCCTACCCCATCTACCAGTCTATCAGTCAAACACACCGGTGGTCATCACACACCGCCACCACCGTCCCCCCCCCCCAATACAATCCTATGCCAGTACCCCCCTCCCCCATATTACCTTTCAAATGCAGTCAATTACACCGGTCTTCCCACATAACCACCACCCCCTTTCCCCTCGTACCCTCCCCACGCCTGAGTCTGTGTCATCACCATAGCTAGTGCCTTCCTCCTTGTCATCTCCTCGTACCTTCCGCCTGGTCATCCCCTCGTGCCTGCCTCCTTGTCATCTCCTCGTACTGTCCTCCTTGTCATCTCCTCGTACCTTCCTCCTTGTCAACTCCTCGTACCTTCCTCCTTGTCATCTCCTCGTACCTTCCTCCTCAATTGGCATCTCCTCGTGCCTGCCTCCTTGTCATCTCCACGTACCTTCCTCCTTGTCATCTCCTCTTGCCTTCCTCCTTGTCATATCCTCGTACCTTCCTCCTTGTCATCTCCTCGTACCTTCCTCCTTGTCATCTCCGATGGGAAATGACTCGGGTGGCAGCCTGACAGTGGGTGTGAACTGCTCGTTGGAAGGTATACTGGACGGGCCAAAAAACTTGTTCGCCAACCACTGTGCAGCAGGCCACAAACCAACAGCTGCTG